TTCCAAAAGAGAGTAAAAGAAGAAAAAAACAAGCTGATAGCTTATTGGATTACTTTTTGATACAGGAGTGCGCAAACTTGATTTAGCACAGGCCTATTCAACCTGCAGGGTTAGCAAAAGAGTACATGAAACAAAACGTATACTGCTTGCAAGCTATTAGTTAATGCATTTACAAAGAGGCAACGGAATTATTGTTTGTTCTCTAGAGCCATGCTGTATCAAAAACGTTAGAAAACAAATTCTGTTTCCTCATTGCTTATGGCAGCAATAAGCAATGAAGAAGATAACATTCAATTAGCTATCAGGAAAAGATCTCAGCAGTAGGAAAAGTTGAGCAATCGGAGTTCCCCTTTGCTTTGGATGAAATGTTAAGAAATATTCACACTATTAGAAAGAGAAATATTGCTAAACATTTATCAAAGCCACACAAGGACCAATTCAATCATCTAAATTTCTCAAAGTTTCAGAGCTTGAAAAAGTTACTTCCTAACTATATTTTTTTTTATTTCAAACATTTTTGTTCTGCCCTTCTCACCCCGCAGGAGACTCAGGGTAGAGCACAACATGTGTACGGCAAACATTCAATGCCGGGACATAAAACCATAAATATATACAAACATTAAAATCACTTAGATCCACTTTAAAATCAGTTGCTTAAAAACTAGCTCAGGACACCATTCTATTATTGGCTCATTGTACTGCCCCAAAGGCTTGGTCCCACAGCCAGGTCTTCACCATCCTTCCAAAGGACAGGAGGCAGGGGGGTGATTTAATATTGCCAGGAAGGGAGTTCCATAGCAGGAAGGCAATCACTGAGAAGGCCCTGTCTCTCATCCCCGTCAAACACGCCTGTGACGGTGGCAGGACCAAGAGCAGGGCCTCTACAGAAGATCTTAGTCTTTGTGGTGGTTCGTAAAAAGAGAGATGCGTTCGGATAGGTAAACTGGGCCGGGGCTGTTTAGGGCTTTATAGGCCAAAGCCAGCACTATAGCTCTTGGAATGCCAGGCACCACATTCTGGTGCTCTTACTTCTACATAGCAGAAAGCACACAGAACTTGACTTTGTGACAGGGGCTCTTCAGTCAACCTGTTTCAGCATATCCATTCACTTTTCGTCTCAAATATTCATAGAGGTGTCCTGTGCATGGCACGGTCAGTTCCAATAGCTGCCAGAATGGAAGCTACCCCAAATATAAAGAGAAAATCTGTCATGCAACACAGCTTGAAATAGTAAGTGATGTTACTTCGTTTATACAGATGGCTGGCATCAGCACCTGGCATTTTTGGGCAGCTGCCAATGCCCCAAATCCTAGCAAAGGCAATCACTGACACCTTCCCTGCCCTGAACAACAACAAAATTCCAACCCTGTGATTCAGTCAGCTTCAGGAGGCCAGATCTAATGCCATTTCACTTTCTAACCAAATCAATCCAAGTCATTGTGAAGAAGAGTTCCGCATTTGTATAGCTGCACCGTTAACAACAATTTGCTCTTGTTTATTTGTTCAGTCACTTCCGACTCTTCGTGACCTCATGGACCAGCCCACACTAGAGCTCCCTGTCGGCCGTGGCCACCCCCAGCTCCTTCAAGGTCAAGCCAGTCACTTCAAGGATGCCATCCATCCATCTTGCCCTTGGTCGGCCCCTCTCCTTGTTTTCTTTCATTTTCCCCAGCATAATTGTCTTCTCTAAGCTTTCCTGTCTTCTCATTATGTGGCCAAAACACTTCATCTTTGCCTCTACTATCCTTCCCTCCAATGAGCAGTTGGGCTTTATTTCCTAAAGTATGGACTGGTTGGATCTTCTCGCAGTCCAAGGCACTCTCAGAACTCTCCTCCAACACCACAGTTCAAAAGCATCTATCTTCCTTCGCTCAGCCTTCCCTGTGGTCCAGCTCTAACATCCATATGTTACTATGGGGAATACCATTGCTTTAACTATTTAAACTATTAACAATTTGCTAAAATCCTATAATCTAAACTGTTAGTTAAAGGTAAAGGTTTTCCCCTGACATTGAGTCCAGTCGTGTCCGACTGTGGGGATTGGTGCTCATCTCCATTTCTAAGCCAAAGAGCTGGTGTTGTCCATTGACACCTCCAAGGCCATGTATCAAGCATGACTGCATGGAGCACCGTTACCTTCCTGTCGGAGCGGTACCTATTGATCTAAACACATTTGCATGTTTTCAAACTGCTAGGTTGGCAGAAACTAGGGCTAACAGCGGGAGCCCATGCCACTCCCCAGATTTGAACCTGCGACCTTTCAATCAACAAGTTCAGCAACTCATCGCTTTAGCCCACTGTGCCATTGGGGGCTCCTTTAAACTGTTAGCTCAGGCTAAAACTAAGTTATATATAAAAGAGTGAGGGCCCTTGGCACCCCAAGACCACAAAAATGGCACCAGGTAAGCCCGTCTACTAATATTGCTCTGTTACAGAACATCCAAATATACCTTCTCCCTAGCCCAGTGGTTCCCAACCTGTGGTCCATGGCTGTTATTAGACCATTGCAATGAGAGCAACTGGTCTTGCAAAACCCTCTTATAGTGCTGAGGCTTATTAAATATGGGGGGGTTTTTTTTGTGGTGAGCAAAAAATGGCGATGTTCTGTATCAGAAACTAGACCTGATGTGGTTTATCCAATGCAATTTTCTGAATCAGCACCCCAGATAACCATACCAAATTGAAAGTTGACCAAAAACTGAATCGTAACCCTTTTGGTGCTAATATTGGAGAGTGGTCCCAGGTTACGTGGTCCCTGATTAAAAAAAAAAAAGGTTGGAAGCCACTGCCCTAGCTGAAGTAACTTACCTACCTCACTCAGAAATGGCCTCATGAGATGTTAATGTATGTTTATATGTTTATATGGCAAAACAGATTGTTCTTTTCAGTGTCACCTAGTTCTAAGCATTTCCAGGCTTGCATTATGACTTGGACCAGTGCCTCTGATAGAGTCCATATAGTTAGATGCTCCCCCCCCCAAAAAAAAGCTCATTAAATACTGTACAACACCCAAGAGCCCTTCTTCTTTTCAGTGGGTGGGTGGTCAGTTGGCTCCCAGAAATGCTTAAGAGCCACACCATATTGTACAGTGGGATAAAAGGGATAATCCGCCAAAGAAAGTACTCAGCGAAGGATCTGTGGTCTCTCTCCCTTGACACACGCAAGCTACTTAAAAGCATTTTGTTTGTATTTTACAGGACAACCAACCAACTGGGCTGTGTCAAATTCAAATCGGCATTCTTCATATTTAGCAAATGGACTCGTTTCAACGGCCCTATTGGAGCTTGAGATAATTAACTCAGAAGTCCAACTCCTTGTTTAGATTAACAGAGCCAACAGCAGGTCATGGACCTAGGAAAGCCAGCAAAGCACTGGGAAGAAAGGCAAGACCAGGAGATAGAGAGATACAAGGAAGCCTTTGAAAAGATTTGGGGGGAGGCTATAGCTCCCAGTTTCCCTCTGTGCTTTGGGATTTGCAATCCCCAAAAACACAACTTTCTCAAATTTGGTCAAGTAGTTCCAGTCATCCATTCCTTTGAGAACTTGGGCACATCAACATTATGTGGTTAACGCAGTTTGACATGACTTTAACAGCCATGGCTCAATGCTATGGAATTCTGGGTGTTGTAGTTTGGCAAGGCACTAGTACTCAGTGGCAGAGAAGACCTTGCAAAACTACAACTCCCAGGATTCCATAACACTGAGCCATGGCAGTTCAAGTGGTGTCACACTGTATTGATTCTAGAGTGTAGGTGCACCCCACTCACTCTCCTCAGGATGACACTAGCTTTGGCTCACTGACTCTAACAGGCTTTGGCCTACTCACTTTCCTCAGGACGACACTAGCTTTGGCCCACTTTGGCATTGTGAACATGTACAACCCCTGCCAATGTTCTCCACAAACACAAGACTGCCCACCAACCAAGTGAAGGCTTTCATTTGGGGACAATATCATCCTAGATTTTATGTGTTGCCTTCACCACAGACATCTCAGTGTTCCTGACTCTCTCCATTGGTGTGGAATTGGCATGACCCCACCCATTGCCTCTCCCATAACCCTTTCCTATACTTTTCTGCAGGGCGCAGTAAACAGAACGGAATGGGTCAGGAACTGAACATACTGGAGGGGGTTGGGGGACTAACTCAACATGATGGAAGTTGTAGTTCACCCTGCATCAAGACAGAGCTCTGTGATGCCCACTGACAATGGTCCTGGACCACATTTGGCACACAGAACCCTCATGAGTAACAAAAAAATACTGGAGGCCTTTGGGGAGAATTGATCTTGATTTATAGGAGTTGTAGTTCACCTACATCCAGAGAGCACTGTGAACCCAAGCAAGAATGGATCTGGACTAAATTTAGCATGCATACCCGATATGCCCAAATTTGAGAGGGAATTGGCCTTGACATTTGGGAGTTGTAGGTACTGGAATTTATAGTTCGACTGCAATCAAAGAGCATTCTGAGCCCCACCAACGATGGACCTAGACCTCCTCACTTGGCATATAGGACTCTCGTGATAAACAAAAAAATACTGGAGACAGAAAACTGGGCTTTGTCCCAGGGAAGGGAGCTGGCCTCCGGGTCAAGACCTGAGAGCAGAGGCAACGCGGCCACCAAAATCAACAGGGAGGGGACTCACACCTCGACTCCTCACTCCTCTTTTCCGGAGAGCGCTCCAGAAAAGAACCCGAAGGACCGGCAGAGAGGAGAGGGAACTTTTCCAAAGGGAGAGAGAGGGAGGGAGGGAGGGCTCCGAGGATGCTCGAAGGAGGCGCCCGGGATCCAGAGGCAGAGAAGAAGCAGCACCTGGGAAGAGCCTTCCTGGGAGAGCCTTCCTGGGGAGGAGGAGGAGCAGCCCCCGCTCTGCCCTGCAGACCAACTTTAGGGGAAACTCCTCCAAAACCCCAGGATCTACCAACAGAGGCTTGGAAAGCAAGGGAGGGATGCTCACTCCCCCGCCTCGAAGGGGTTTTATGCCAGACGGTGCACTCTACCTGAGCCGGGAGCGCCGCCGCAGGACTGCCTCTCCTCCTCCTCCTCCTCCTCCTTCTCTTCTTCGTCCTCTCCTTTTCGGAGTCCAGCCGGGCTCTCTCTCGCCTCTGCCGCCTTTTAAAAAAGCGAATTCGCCTGGGCTCGGAGGCGCATGCGCCGAGGTGGCGTTGGGAGGAGTGACCTGATCCTCCCCCTCTCCCCCCCCCCCTTCCTAATTTCTTTTTTTTTCACCCCGGGAACTGGGCGGGATGGGACACGTTGCTGCCTCCTGGGCTCCGGCAGGAAGGGTTTCCAAATTCCCAACTCTCTCTCTCTCTCTCTCTCTTCCTTCTTTCCTTCCTTTCTGCCTTCTTCCTTTCTTTCCTTCCTTCTTTCCTTCCTGCTATTCTTCCCTCTTTCCTTCCTTCTTTCCTTCCTTCCTGCCTTCTTTCTATCTTTCATTCTTTATTTCCTTCTTTCCTTCCTTCTTTCTTTCCTTCCTGCCTTCTTTCCTTCCCTCCTTTCCTTTCCTCCTTCCTTTCCTTCCTTTTTTCCTTCCTTCCTGCCTTCTTTGTATCTATCCTTCCTTCTTTTCTTCCCTCTTTCCTTCCTTCTTTCCTTCCCGCCTTCTTTCTACCTTTCCTGCCTTCTTTCCTTCCCTCTTTCCTTCCTTCTTTCCTTCCTTCTTTCCTTCCTGCCTTCTATCTTTCCTTCCTTCTTTCCTTCCTGCCTTCCTTCCTTCCCTCCTTCCTTTCCTTCCTTTCCTTCCTTTCCTTCCTTTCCTTCCTTTCCTTCCTTCCTGCCATCTTTCTTTCCTTCTTTCCTTCTTTCCTTTTTCTTTCCTTCCCTCTTTCCTTCCTTTCCTTCTTGCCTTTTCAGGTTCTAACAGGAAATTCAATGATCACAATCAACATCGATAATATATTCATCATCTGTATTGAAGCCAGGAGGCCCCCCTTCCCAGTGGCACAATGGGTTAAACCCTTCTGCTGGCGGTCAGTAGTTTGAATCTGGGAAGAGCAAGTTGAACTCCCTCTGTCAGCTCCAGCTCCCCATGTGAAGACATGAGGGGGGGGGGGGGAGAAGGGACCTGAGGCTGTTAGGAATTGTGGGAGTTGGAAGTCCAAAACACCTGGAGGGACCAAGTTTGCCCATGCCTGCTCTAAAACATTACCCTTCACTCAAAGTATGGCACCACACTGGTTCTATAAATTCTACTTACACTCCGTCTTTTCTCCAGGGAACTCTAAGAATGATGCAAAACAGCACAACAGGGATGTGCAGTGAATTGTATGGCACTGTAAAGATGTTCTGCTGTGTTATAATTCAGCAGGAACTTCCAGTCTGTCAGCATTGCTCTGGCAAGGAAGGGGGTCCTTATCACGTTATCCATGGATCCCAGAAAGAAGGGCGGGGAGGGCTTGAAACCCACTCACCTTAATAGGCTAAGAAGGGTGACAAACATCCACTCACCTAGCAACACTATGTACTTGAATAGGAATGTGAATAATTATACAGACCACCCAAAAAAACAAAACACCCTGGTTTTTAGACCTGTTCCTGGGGTTATTTGAAGCTCAGATTCAGAAAATTGCATTGGATAGACTGCAGCAACGCTAGTTTCTTAGATATGGTTATCATGCTTTCCTATAGGTGAGTAGATGGCGACTGGTAGATGGCATATGTTCTGTAACTCAAAAGCTAGAACCGATGGGGGAAACAGGTGCCATGTTTGAAATCAGCAGGTCAGATATACCCAGAAACAGGTCTATCATTTGATGAACCAAAATGTGTGTTAGCAGTGGAGAGTTCCTCAAGTAGTAGGTGTCTGAAGTTCAATCAATTGGCTTACGGATACAGGGAGAAGCCTAGCAACAGCTACCAATGCCCGGGAGACTTTCTGATAATGATCTTCCCCTTTCTTATTAGTTATATTGTTTCCAACTCTAAATAAACATACTATATTATATTTCATATCTCTATATTAAATCCTTTTTGGAAAAGCATGCCACTGACCAAGTCTTTGTGGTGACCTTTCACCCACATCTCCTGACTTGGGAAGACCATCCAGCTGCCTTCTTGGGCATCATCTACATAAGAAGGCCTTGATCACCCATCACCTTTGGGCCACTCCATCTATACTGACCTCATAGATCCATGACTGTGTAGAGGATAACAGGATCCATTTGCAGGGCCACCCATTTTTTGTTTCAGTCACCTGGACATTAAAATGCTATTCATCACCTGGCATGACTACCAGTATGCCAGGAGGCCATGCCCCATTCTCCAACAATGACATTTCCCCTTTCAGCTGGGACCTGGTAATCCACTGAAGACTCATCACCTTTGCTTTGTCTCCTGAACTCTCCTGCCCCTCGTCCACCATTGGAGAACAGGAATCTGCATTAGGAACGGGGAACGCTCTCCTATTGGCAGATGGGAGCTGCAGTCCCACCTCTGCAGGGAATCCTCCCTCAGTTGTTCTGTGACATCAGCAGTTCCTAGCCAATCACAGCAAAGCCACATCCAGCTGAGTGGGAGTGGGAATTTCAAAGGGCTGCACTGTATAAAAATGTCAGTTTTGCAATGTTATGGTATCTCAGCTTCCTTTGGCGGATTACCTTGAGCTGGCATCACTTTCAGGTGATTGAATAAAACACCTCGATGGCTTCTGGAATCCTAAGCACACTTATGTGGGAGTGTGCTACACCGAACACAAGGAGACAGTGTCATCACTAGAGTTGTTGAAACCCTTCAAGTGCAATAAATTATGGTGTTACCCTCACAGACCATGGCGCAACATTGTTGCTAAAATACCAGAAACTTTGACAAAAACAGCTACAATTTTCCAAAAAGCAGGAACAAAAACAACAGCACATGCTTGTAGAACATGCAGACAAAATTATGTGATTTGAAACATAATTGAGTAACAATGACAGTTCTGACCAGAACGCTTGCACATAAGAAGGTTCAAAAAGTAAATTAGCATAGTGTTATTGCCCTATAGGTATATTGATACAGTACATGTAAGCTAGGTTTATGTTTGTGGTTATGTGTAACTATAGGGCTACTTTTACTGCAAAATTATAAATGTCTGCTGAAACACTGCACAAACATTTTCCAGACGTTCATTTTAGTGTCCCTTCCTTAGATTGTGTTATCCAATGTTTATATGATAATGGATGGGGAAAGTATTTTGCCCTCTGCCTGCAAGTGCCTGCAACACTCTGCCTTCCAATGTTGACTCTACCCCCTGAATAACAGTTCTGGGGTCCCTAGCAATACCGGCATACTTGTGTTATCAATAGCGATTGGTAAGAAAAAACAGGTGGGCTACAAATGTGCCTTAATATGACACACATCCTCGTGACATCTTGTTTGGATTACTGTCATGCACTCTACACGGGGCTCCCTTTGAAGAGTGTTCGGAAACTTCAGTTAGTACAAAGAGCTGCCACCAGACTCTTATCTGGGACTGATTACAGAAACCACAAAACTTCTTTCTTAACAGTCCCAATGGCCACCAGTCCGATCCAAGGCACAATACAAAGTGGTTGTGCTCTATAAAACTCTGCATGGCTTGTGTCCTCCCATAGATCATATTTCTACACATGATGTTGCTTGAGTCCTCAGCGCCTGTGGAGAAGTCCTTCTCTCAGTCCTTCTCTCAGGACTTCTCCACTTGGTGGAGAGCCAAGACAAGGGCTTCTCAGTGGCTGCTCAAGAACTTCCTTACCAAGCAGATCTGGCTTTTTTATTATTATTCCAACAAACTTTTAGAACAGAAGGTTTTTGGGAGAAGGGCTTTTAAGAGGATGCTCTACTGCTTCAATTGTTTTAAATTAGCTTTTTAGCATTTTAGGTATATGATTTAAGTTGTTTTAATATTGTAACTAAAATCATAGAATTGGAAGAAAACACAAAGGCTATCCAGTTCAACCATATTCTGCCATGCAGGAACACAAAATCAAAGCACTCTCAACAGATGTCATCTGCTTAAAAGTCTCCAGAGAAGGAAACTCCGCCATGCTCCAAAGATGCTTCTTCCACTATTGAACAGCTCTTATGTCAGGAAGTTCTTCATAATGTTTAGATGGAATTTCTTTTCCTGCAATTTATCCTAATCTCTAGATCAGCAGAACACAAGAATTGCTCCCTCCACAGTGTGTCATTTTTTAAAATACTTAAACATGACTATCATGGCTCCTCTTTTTTCTAAGCTAAACATAACCAATTCTCTAAGCTGAGCTTTATAGTGCTAGGTTTACAAACCTTTGATCATTTTGGTCGCCTTTCTCTGGACATGTTCCAACTTTTTTTTTTATGTCAGGAGTCTCAGGACCGACTTGAGAAACTGCAAGTCGCTTCTGGTGTGAGAGAATTGGCTGTCTGCAAGGACACTGCCCAGGGGACACCCAGATGTTTTGATGTTTTACCATCCTTGTGGGACGCATCTCTCACATCCCCACATGGGAAGCAGGAGCTGACAAAGGGAGCTCAACCTGCTCTCTCTCGATTTGAACTGCTGACCTGTCAAAAGTCCTGCCAGCACAAGGGTTTAACCCATTTTGCCACTGGGGGCATTCCAGCTTGTCAACATCCTTCTTGAACCTCAGTGCTCAGAATATATATATATATATATATATATATATATATATATATATATATATATATAAGAACTGGACACAGTATTCCTGGTGAAGTCTGATCAAAGCGGAATAGAGTGGAACTATGACTTCCCTTGATCTAGACACTAGATTCCTATTGATAGAGCCTAGAATTGCATTGGCCTTTTTATCTGCCATATAACACTGTTGACTCATGTTCAGCTTTTGCTCCATTAAGATTCCTAAATCCCTTTTACATGTACTATTTTCAACCCATCCTACATCTGTGCATTTCTTTTCTTTTTAGCATAAGTGTAGCATTTTACATTTCTCCACATTAAAATTGATTTTGTTAATTTGATTCTCTTTTAATTTTAACATTTGAGGAATTAAAAACTATATTGTACTCACTGTCATGTGTAAGCTATCTTGAGTCCCAATTTTAGGCAAAAGGTGGACTATAATTAAAGACAGAGAAGGAGTCATTGTCTGATCTTGTGCAGAATTCTGTAAAGGAGGGCAGAGCATTTGCATGGCACTCCCCTAGAAACACCTCAAGTGACAGGCTTTACT